ACACCTTCTTATACAATCTGTTTTTCTTTTTTTCACCATGGGTTATATCACATTCCTGGGTAGGTCTACTTTTACTTGGGATGCTTAAAGTAGCCAAAGTGTGTTAATAGTTTGCATTTGTACTTTTACTTCAGTACAAATTGAATAACGTTACTATATTGTGCTACTTTTACTTAAGTAAAGATGTTCACCACTCTCCAAAGCATTTAAAAAAATGGACTTCAGCAAGTGACCACGTGTTTCCGACCCACTGAAGTCCAAACTGAGGCGTCGTTTGTCCGCGTGATGTCCTCGTTGTTTCTCTTAACTGTGTTTATCATTAGTTTACAGATTGGCGAAAGACCCTCACATCGTCAAATATATTTATTACCCAAACTTCTTCACTGAGCAGCCTATTGATTAATTAATTAAATGCACGAAAGTTAGCGTGCAAGCAGAGGGAGAGAAAGGAGCCGAAAATGGCGCAAACTGCGGTGGTTAATCAGTCTAATCCAGGTGTTATTAATCAGCGCTGAGGCAGTGACTGGTTCATGTGGCTGCACGTTAAGTCAGGAAACACTCTGGGGGAAAGTAAGTGAATATTTTACTGTTGTTCCACTTGTTTAATGTTTGACTTTCATTGGGTTTTTCATCACACTTTGTTCTATGAAATATAAAACAAGCTGCTGCACACATTTAATAGAAACTAGTGCATTTATATTACTATAGATTTAGTGTTGCTCTATGGCACTATTGTTGGTAGGCTATTCTCCATATTTGGCCCAGTCTTAGTGGTTGTAAAATGCTATTTTTTCCTACCTCAGTTTGTCCATAGTGTACGTGATGTTTTGTTGATCTAAATGTTGCATATGTTATCTTGGAAAACAATAAACTCATTTTCCTCAGTTCCTTGAGTTGGATGTGTTACTCACACAGGGCCCCAACCCTCTTCCTGAAAATCCCACATTTAATTCAGACTACAGGAAGTCTTTATTTGACAAGTAAACATGAAGATGATTTTATAGCCTGTCCAGTAGGCAAACGGTAGGCTTAACCATAATGTCAGTGTGAGTTCTTCATTTGTGATTCGAGAGTTTTACTCCCATTTCCTCCATTTCCATTCCTAATGCCACAGCTGTGCAGGAGGCTGATGAGTGTAAACATAAAGACTCTCAGACAGTGAAATATAGCCACTGGCAGAGACGCATGGATTGTGTGCTTTCATCTGAACTAAGGTTTATTCATGGGGCAGTATTTTATGCAAATGTCACACAACAGGTGAGGTCTCACCAGGTCACTTCTGATCCACACACATTCAGACGTCTTTCTTTATAAACCATTTGAGGAACATTACCAGTTGAATGTGGTCTTAAGGATGAAGAAACAGTTTTACAGCAGATTTAAAATAGTAGATTTCTGTCATATAGTTTTCATATCGATCCCTGGGTTTTGTTGTGGTCAGTGTATGCAGGTGATCTCAGACTACCTGTAGGTGTGTACCGTCATGTGATAACACTGGGAGGTGTGGACACCCTTTGTCTCCATAAGCCGACACGCCAGTGTGTGAGATAACATTGAACGATGACCTCATTTAGGAAATTACATTACTGTCGCACATTCTTGCAACCTCTGGCAGAGTTAAAAGTCCAAGTTGTCCTCAAAATTTCTCTCAGAGGTTAAAGTTTGAGTTGGTCTCTCGGAAAAATACATGCCATAGTTTTCTTTTTTTTTTTTTTTTTTTTTTTTTTAAATGGGAAATTCAAAAAAGCATAGATGACTCAAATACCTGTATCTTTGTTATCACCAATTCCTCCTTTGATTGCATTAAAGGGAGAAAATTTAACTAGAACATGGCAGCTGTCACCAGTTTGTTGTCCGAGTTAATTTCATTCTAGCTTGATGTCAAGAAAGTATTTGAAATCAGATTTATTAGAAAATTGTGTTAGAAATGAGAATGTTACACCAGAAGCTCTAATGTGACAAATCTGCTCTCATCAAGAGCCACAAAGCAAACATATTATGTGAACCAAGACTTCTTGTTTTCTTATGACAAACCTTTTTGTTTTGTCTTTTAAAGGGTTGAGTCACCAAATTATACAAATCACATTTTCTCACTAACTAACTGCTATTTAGCCATGCAGATGGACATTTTCTGCCACCACTCTACTATAGTAGAGCTAAATGTGATTTAGTTTGTTATAGAAGTATTGAAAAATATGATCTCAATGTCTTTAGAAATCTTTCCAATAACAATCTCCAGGTTAATCCGAGTAAATTCCACAGACCACACTGTCAGCATATTTTAATAGTGATAGTTTCCTCGGTAAGAAGTAGTTCCTTTAGGATGCTCAGTTAAATGTAACTATGGCTCGTATAACAAACTGAAATCCAGGGCTTCCACGGGGGAGGGTCAGAGCAGTGCTCATGGAGAATTACTCAATACAACTTGCAACGAGCTCAACAGTCATCAGCACAAAGGTCAGTGACCAAGTGGTGCAAGAAACGGCAAGGAGAGAAGAGTGTATCAGAGGGGTGTAGTGGTGTTAGGAGCAGCACTTCAGGATCACAACGACCACTATACGGATTATATTCAAACACGGTCAGGACAACAGCTTGTCACCTTTTCTATAACAATGAGATCATATATGTTGTAGATTTTTGTGTTTTTCTTTATTGGGAATTCTTGTGAAATGTGTGTGGTTTGTTGAAGAAAGGGTCTGGTTTACAGATTAGAGTTAATTATGATAGATGTAGACATCGGGGCCTGGACACTCAATAGGGCATACACGACCAGCATGTACTTTAGATCCTTTGCCCTCATTTTTTGTTATTGTTTGACTGTAAAACGTATAAACTTTCAAGCTGCAATATTCACTCATAGCTGCTGCTTGCTCCTTCTGTGAGGCCTGTTGGTAATGTTGCCCTTTGCAAGTGACGATGTGTTGTCTTACAGTTAGTCTAAATGCTAAACTGATGCTACCTTCAATCGCAGATCGATGTGCTCCCAGATGGATTACGCTATGAAGTCCCTCAGCCTTCTGACTCCGTCTTCCCTCTCCAAGTAAGAGCACTGCTCCGCGGGTTGGATGGGATAGTCAACAATCACCAGTTAATGGTGGACGAGGAGGCTGAAAATGATTTAAGCATTGTGTCTTCTATCTTTTGTCAGGTGTGTGACAGCCAGCGTGTCAGCCAGCGCCTCCATGACCCAGCAGCTCCTGTCGGGTCGAGCTCCTCGCCCAAAGCCCTTCAGGGTCACAAATGCTGACCGCAGTGTGAAGAAGGGCATCATGGCGAGCTCCCTAGAAGACCTGATGAACAAGGCAAGGAGCGTGTGTGAAGTGTTGAAAGGGCTGAGCTTGAATTGTGAAGTAGTTGAGAGTGGGTGACGATGAAACGGCGTTTAAAATGACCACAGACATCGGCCTGTGACTCACTTATTGCTGCGCCGTCTGTGAGACTCATGCTGGTTAAAGTTCACAAGACTGAGGTGTACACTTGACTGCAACAATGCTCTATCCTTTATATAATGGCTGTTATCTGAATTGCTCCTCCCTGTGTCTCTCAGGTCAGCGACTCGCTGAGCGTACCGTGTGTCGGCGCCCTGGTGCTGGATGAAGACGGCACAGGCGTGGACACAGAGGAGTTCTTCCAGACGCTGCCCGACAGCGCTGTCCTCATGGTCCTGGAGAAGGGCCACAAGTGGACCCTACATCCGGTATGATAGTGTTTGACCTTTCTCCACATCAACCAGCAGGTGATGCTGTTGATCAGCTGCACAGTGTGGTGTTTAACATATTGATCGACTGCTTGTATTCAGCGTTTGTTACGCCAGTGATTCTTTGATGTATTGACTGAACAGACGGGGAAATATCTGTTTCTTCAATGAAGCAGCCATGAATATGGATGGTACAGGGGTCTGTAGAAGAATAATACATTGAAATTTAGTCAGCAAATATTGTGTCCTCAAACTGAATAGAGGAGGAATATGTCAGTTATTGTGCAAAGGCTGAGCTCGGGGCGAACACCAGAGATTAGTTTCTTCCGTCATCATTTTTGAAGAAGAATGGTGTTAAATTTACATGTTTTCTCCCGAAAGCAATTAATTTCCTTAGACTGCATGCAGTGATTTGCATCCCTCCCCTACATGTTTCCTCTGGTGACTTCACATTGACCTTGCTTCATTGTAATTTGCCCTACCCATCACTGCTGGCAGTCCGTAATGTCTGCTGGCGGAGCTCGGTGTTGTCATCTGGCCCAATCGCGCCAACAAAATGTGTCTGTGCCCCTTTGACCCAACTTTTGTCTCCGCTCCTGTTGCCTCACAGAGCAGCCCCTCCAGAGATCAGCTCAGCACACAGCACCGGACAGATGTGGCCAAGGTGACTTTTGACCTCTACAAAAACAACCCCAAGGATTTCATTGGCTGCCTGAACGTGAAAGCAACCCTGTACGGCGCTTATACTGTCTCCTATGACCTGCGCTGTTACGCTGCCAAAAGCATGCTGAAGTGAGTGTCTGTCAAATATCTGAAACCGTCCGTCATTATTATGCATTTGTGTTGAACTGTCATGTAATGTTTGTTTCATCTTCATGTCAAAGGATTTCTCTGGTGACTTTCCCTAGTAACAGTTTAATCAAGTCAGAAATGAAAATCTACTGTGATGAGTTTCTAATTCATAAAATACCAAACAGAACAACACCTTTGCAATGCTAATTACATTTTTTTTCTGGTTGATTTTCTCCTCTATATCAGCTGCTTTTCTAACATAACAGCAGCTGTAGTAGTATTCTGTGCACAACCGCCAACATGTAAAGTCATTTTTTTAATGCGTAAATACCTGTGGGCGGCCGATTTTGAAATGATCAGATTGCAGAAGAACAAAGGCTAGATTTTACCGAGATTAAATTCATGTTATGTCATCGCTGCTGAGATCTGCCGGTTTTTAGCGTTGGCACGGAGCTTCAGTCAGAGAGGATTACATTTTGCAGACTTGTCAAATATGAGTCTTTTGTGCTCACAGTGCAGTAGAAGAGGTTTGTTTCTTAGATGTGCGTTTTTTTTTTTTTTAGATGCAGTTGTGAGGAATGATTCTTATTTCATGTCAGTCATTTTCTCATCAGCTTGTGTAGTTAACTTCCTGTGACAATTACGCAAGACTTTTTAATTATAAAAAGAGAGATATATTCTCATACTATATGTATTTCTCAAGTTACTCCAATGCCGTGTGTCTGTTAAGCCGCTCTGCAGATGGGAATTATGACCACTTTGTCTCTCTGCGTTGTGCTTCTAGGGAGGCCCTGCGATGGACCATCTTCTCCATGCAGGCCACGGGCCACATCCTGCTGGGATCCTCCTGCTACATCGAGCAGCTGCTGGAGGAGGAGGAGGAGGAGGAGGAAGAGGAGCGAGCAGAGAAGAGCCTGGCGCTACCACAGGAAGGCAGGATCAGGCAGCTGCAGAGCATGCTGCTGAGAAGGATATCCCACTGATCGTGGACTAGAGCTGACGATGGTGGAGCCGCCTTGTCCACTCTTAGGTTTAGGACACGATGTAGATGGTCGCAGATGAAACGGCTGATCTCTTCATGTTCACGTCAGTTTCCTGTGCAGTTTGCAGATATTTTAGACATAGCAACAGTCTGTCACTTTCTTGTTCTGTTACATTTATTATTTTTTTGCACCATATGTACAAGCTGATACCACAAGTTATTCCTCAGTAAGCACATTTACTTATTACTGTAACTTTTTCCTATCGAGATGAATAAATAAAACTAACACTTTTTTATATTCCCGTTCCTGAAAGTCTATTTAAGTCTACATACATTAGGTCTACAAGTGAGCTTATATGTGCTGTGTGAGTCCATTAAGCTGGCTTTGTGCGTGTGGTTCCTGGTCTGAGTCAGTGTAATTGGCAACAGGTCCAGCTGTCTCTCCCACGCTTCCCTAATTGTCCCCTGGCCTGCACTGTACTGTCAGCTGCAGCCTGCCCCTGCCTCAGAAAATCAGAGGAAGAGAACGAAGTAAGAGCAGCTGCAGGGGGCGAGAGGCCGGAAGCAAACCATTATACGGAGAGAGAAGAGAGATGATTGCCTCAGCTGGCGTCAGAAGTGCCACTTTTGCCATTTTGTTGTAAAAGGTTGCAGCAAAAAAAAAATGCTGAGGACAGATTTTCCACCGAATTGGCGGTCTGATGCACTGAGAAAAAGATAAATGTCTGAGGTACATATCAGTAGGTCAAGAGTTGGACACTGACTGTGGCTCGCTCCCGCTAGCTCTTCTGCTGGTTTTTCTTTTGTTCTGTCTACAGAAAATATAACCAGAAATAATTAACGTCGACACATTTGGTCATTTCGGATGCAGTCAACGTTGACATGAAAGACGAGATATATGTATATATATGTGTATATATATATATATACATACCCCACATGATATTAGTTGATTTATTGTTCGCTAAGGTATTGAGGGATGTGCATGTCGTTTAAATGTAATGAGATAATGTATCGTGGGATAATCAAAACATGTTCCAACAGTATTCAGTATTGGGCGGTCATCAATTAAATTGCAACTCATGAATGCATGAGCAGTAGTTGCATACAATGCCAACAACATTAATGTGATTGTGAATACATGGTTAAGTCCCATTGTTTGCACTGAAAAGAGTCATGGGGGTGCATGACTGCTGACTTTAATCTACGTTCGTTATGTTTCACAGTATTCCTGATGGCTCTATTACAGTGTATTGAATTGTAGCCATATAGATTGGTTTCTACAGTATCTGCTCTGTTTCACAGGTTTGGCGAGTGGTTTGATTTGTCGTTCCCTTCACCGTGTTCAGATGCGCCAACTGGAAATACCCAGACATGAGTTTGAGTCTAATGTATTGCTTTACTGTAAATTCTGTGCTCATTAGAAGGGACAACCTCTGATCCACTTGTGAACTGAAGGGTTCACTCCACCAAAAAAACAAGATTGGAACCTGCTGTCATTCCCACAAAAAATTGACAGTTGAAAAAAATGTAGGAACATTTAAAATGTAGGTTTCTATTCCTAAAAGGAGTTGCACTGCTTTACCATCGCACTCCTGACAATGTTAGAGTCATGATGGGCAATTAAAACATGATGCAGCAGAACCAGAGATATCCTGTTTTGTTTTTTATCAAATACAGATTTTTTTTTTTAAATTTCGTACATTCTTTGTCCTTGTCAAAACCTGGCGCCTGAACTACTCGCAATGGAACTCAACTGCCGACTGTCGGTATGAGTTAGGCAGCAGCTAAGGTAGCCTCCAGCAGCCTTAAACTATAAGCATTTTTAGAGCTGTGAGCTGCTGTGAAATATTTGCGACAGCCAGGTTCTATAACCACCGACTTTATAATTAAAGCACATTCTGCTCGACCCACTGAGCCACAGCAGTGACAAAAATCTGAAGCTGTCGAGATTCAAAGAAGTGAGTTCACCAGACCTCTGGAGCCCGCTCATCATCTTCGCTTAAATGCAGATGTCATATTTCATTTTATGTAGTTGTGCTGTGACAATCAAAATAAAGTGTAAGCGTCAAGACTTGTAGTCTTCAGCCCCAATCACTGAACGGATAAATTGCCTCAAGTGACATCAGTTGAGGCAATGTATCCGTTTTTGTGCAGCTCTCTGTGACGCCACAAAGATAGCGTATCTTCTTTTTTTTACATGCGCATTTAATAATGTGACTATTTATTTAGTACTTTACGTTTATACCAGCATCAAAGCACAGACAGGTTCGGAGTTTTTAAACCTTCGATCTGAATGTCCTCGGTAGTAGATGCCTCCTCCCTCCTCCCTCCTCTCTCACTCAGCTGAAGTCGTCCTGGCAGCAGCGTCCTCTGAGGATCCAGCAGGAGCGCTTCCTGCGGACGGCCGTCCGTCCTTCCGTCCCACTGAGCTGTGTTGTTGCCAGTGGCCCCTGGTGGAGCTGTTGCTGCTGCTGAGCATGTGCTCGGCTGCTCCGCAGAGAGTTACTCAACTACTATTGGCCCCACAGGACATAAGGGACGCTTCCCATCAACACACATGTTGTGGACACGAATCGCTGAACGCACGGCTCCAACTCAAAGAGGTAAGAGTGCAAGTTTTGCTCAATAATCTAAGCGGTTTTTTTTTTTTTACTCTGCGATATATATTTTGTCTGTGCAGCCGTTTGTCCGATGAAGATATGTCAGTGTAAAATTGCGCAGCCGCTTGGTAAGCAGTTGGCAGGCAGGCAGCCCCGACCTATCCAGTCCAACAATAACTTCAGTCCAATGAATCATTTTCTATGATAGTAACGTAACGTGTGCTTGAATTTCACACGTTAAAACGCTATTTTTTTAACTTTTCCCTTATAGGTTAGTTGAACTTTTACGCAGCGTATTTTAATCCATAACCCTTCGTGTGGCTATTTAACAAAATCCTTACAAACTGGAAACACTATGGTAGTGCATTATGTCAAAGTCTCTGTGTTTATTTGAGGGTAAGATGGGTAGGCTGCTTGCATTCCTCCCGCACATCGCCCTGTGTGCTGTTTGGCACAAAGCGCTCCACGAAATATCGATTTAGCAGAGGAATCCGGGTTTTATTAGAACCCACGGGCTGTATGTGGGAGTAGGTGCTTGACACAGTTACGGGCACGGAGGCTATATTCCTCCCACGCTCCCGAGGGAGTCCTCCTCAATGCAGTCCGCTGGAAACATCTCAACATGCATACTGTACATGAAAGCGTGGTTGTCTGTTTGGATGGTGTTTGAGATGTTTTGCATTTTGTTGTGTGTGCCAACGGCCTTGCAGCCAAATATCACTTAAAATATCTTTAAAATATCTTAAATCTCGTCATCTATTCTCACTTCCAGTCAGGATCCGTTTGTTAGGTCAATCTGTCCTAAGGAAGAATCAACAAAACAGAACTTACATGAAATAAGGTATAACTAAACCTTAAGGATTAATTGAAAGTGAGAGCGATAAACAGAAGTTAGTACTAATGGTCTGTTAAATTAGGTTTCTTTAAAGTTACTATATGCTATACTATACTATAGGCTTGTACCTTAATCTGAAACATTTCTTAAGTAAAGCTTTAAATTGCTTAAAGCAAAGAGAAGGCTTGATGAAAGCATTTGGGTCTGAGATGCGTCTCCGCCACGCTGTCCGCTGTGGACGGCTTTGATTGTGAACATGAAGGAGGGAAACCAAGTCCTGCTGGACACATGAAGACATGGAGTGTTTCCTGTGTGCCAATACATCACCCTCCCCTCTCTGTCTCACACACAAATTATTAAATTGTCTTCTAATTGATTCCTTCTGCAGTTAAGTAACCTCCTCGTTTTAAACAAAGTGGCTTTCTGTTCAGCATCTGTCATCTGTCAGCAGCAACACCCTTCTTTTTCTCTTGTCTCTATTTCTTCTTTTCCCCCACTTTCCTTCTCTCTGCTTTTTCCCCAAGCTTAGGTTTTTCAATGGTTGGTTATTTAGGTCCATATTTCAGCTCGGCAATAAATAATTCAGGTAACAGGACAACACAAAGGTCCTCAGTGAGAGCCTGGATGCTTTGCTCAGACCTGAATTGCCCGTCGTTTTGGAGAATATGTCTGAATAATGGATTTGTATTTTGACTGAAATGGCGATAGGTCCACTCACTGAGTGTTCAAGTTATCACTCAAATAGATCCATACATAAAAAATGAGTCTCCTGCTGAAGAAGCTGAGGTTTTTGCTTGATTTTACTCTCCCTCATATTCTCCCTAAAAGCACTCTCTGTATTTCTCCATATTTCATGCCGTCCTGCTGGCTTTTTCCAGCTGCTCCTCAGCTCCATTATGAAATGAGCCAAAAATATTTATGACTTGGACCGAAATGATTATTGGATTGCTGCATTGAAAGTATGGATGCTTTAACAACAGCCACCCTGGACAGAGGGTCAATAAACCACTCAGAGTGACGCAGATTCCTGACCCTGACCATACCAGTGACGGTTAAGAGTGTCCTGACGTAGTACGTGTGTGTTTGTTTGTGTTGATCACGAGACAGTGTTGTATTGTCTAGAACTGGCAACTTATTTTTTTATTAAACAAAGTTTTTAATATTTTGAAGAACCTAATCAAGTCAAACAGAAACTTGAATTCTCCTCACTTTTTGTGGAGACATTCTAAACTTTACTGACAGCTACTGTGCTCATTTTTAAAAGAGCACATAACCTTTTTTGGACATATTTGGGGAAACAGCATCTAAGCCTCAAACCTCTGTGTGGTCGTCTCCCACGGCAGGACCGGCAGTTTTAGGAGACGTGTCCATGGTGACTGGAGAACGGTTGGTTAACCAACACTTTTTTTTTTATTCCAACTCGTCACACATACTGACCCTTTGTCAGACCCCTTTGAGTCACGCACCAGGTAGCTCAGCAGACGGTCGCAGTAGACACGAGTTTATCGTGAATTCAAACGAAAGCCTCATAGATAAGCATCATCTGTTGAAGTGAGTGACGCATGGTTGGAAGCTCCAGGATTGTTCTGCTCTGTCTCAGTCCCAGTAGGGCCTCACAATTATGTGCAAGGCCGTTTCCCGCAATGTGTCCATAACCATGCATTGAATGGACATATTGGCAGTGTAGAACTATTTATTTGCATTTAGAATGGTCATGAGACTTTACATGATAGCATAATGTCACTGTAGTATTCGTCCTCGCATTTGAAGCTCGGAGTCACGCCTCAAAGAGCTGGCGGCTTAAAGGCAGACAACCAGCTAAGTCAGATTCAGTGGGGAAATCTCTATTCAATTCGTATTTGTTTAACATTCCATCTGCTGGAAAATAATCCCTAACATTCACTACACTGGAAAACACTCCAGCGCTGCTCCAGATGAGACTTTCATCCTCTCTGTATTCATCGACCGCTACAAGACCACTTAGACTCGGCAGGTGTCCTGTTGTACAACTGTGTGTGTTTAAAGACGTGCGTTTCTCTCCCAGGCCGACTGTGCTGAGGATGAGCAGTGGCCTGCCAGTGTTTGTCTCTGACTAGACCTTTTGCCTCCATCATGACGTGGTGACTGAAGAGAGTGCTCAAATAAGAGCTTGACGGGAGTCTTTTTACACTTGTGCGCACACACACAAATGCTGGTGGGTGTTTAATGCATAGTAGGAGTGTACAGTGTATGTTCCTCGCGTTAACTCCAGCCTCTCCGTTTCGTCATTACTCACCCCCTCACACTGCAGACTCTCAGACTTGAATGCTGTCCTTTCTATTATTGTGTGTGCTTTGTCCTAAGTAATGTCTGGTTAAAATCAACATTCTGCTTTGTGGTGGTCTGCTTAATTTCAAGAACCTAAAGTAGACAAAATATTTCTACTACACATTGTGACGGCAAGTCTTCTATTGTAGTGTGTGTTCTGTAATGGGCCTGCAGTGTCATTATATATCCATTAGAATAAATACCCTGACTATTCCCTTTTTTTCTGTCCTACCAGTGCATGAAACCGTATATAACAGAAATGTCATACTTTCCTCATAGCTTTCCTCGTTTGAGTTGAAGTGATTAGGTCTTCAGTCCCCTTGCTGCATAAGTTTGCATTTTAATGAGGTTGAACTGATTTACTTTTAACCGCTATAAATCTGTGATGTTTATGGAGTTCATGTGAAGAGAAATATGTGGATATGCTTTACTGATGAATATGTAGATAGCTTACATGACACTAGCAAATGTTAGCATGCTGACATGATAAACTAAGGCTACATTCACACAGCAAGCCTTTGTGTTCAATTCTGAATTATTAATCAAATTGGGCCTTTGCTAAGCCCCGCCCCCCCCGCTGCTACTCCGTCAAGGTGTCAGAGCTACCATGGAGTCCACACTGTCACTAACTGCACTCACTGAATAAACATTATCAAATTCTTGAAAACATGAAAATATATATCCAGGATGTCAAACTGATTGAACGGTGAAAACAGGTTATAAAGATGAAGACAGAAGCTAAAGCTACAGATCACAGTTTAAAAGTGAACCACCACATCACCTGGCGATCGAGACAAAAGACAATGAAATTAAGGAACAATAGTGTTCCTGTAAAGTAGGTCTTTACTCACTGTTACAAAAGCAAAAACAGCATCCAGTATACCTTCAGAAGCTAGCGTAGCATAGAGGTACAATAACAAAGTCATCACATGCACTGTCGTACGGAAGTAAACATGGAGGCCACTAAATTTAGTGTTTACGCTGACATTAACAAGTTGATGTGCATGTAGGCCAGTGAATTTGTGAGCAGATGATGAGGATGAAGAGAAAGAGGGTCACATTTTTTTAATCATGGCTTTTTGTGAAGCAATAGATGCTTCTTCTGTACGTAAGTGTGTGTGGATGCAGAGTGGGAGCCAGTAGTGGTGGGATCCTGATGTGATGTAAAAGTCACATCAATTCCGATATGAGAGTTCAGACTGAGGTACTATTGCAAGAAATCAGACCTGAACTGAAAAGATCAGATGTTGTAGTTTAAAAAAACAAAAACTGATCTTAGTCACATAAAAAAATCAGATTTGGGCCACTTTTGCAAACATTATACAGATATAAATACATTATATATGTATCATATTATAACAGTAATCACACAGCTTTAGCACACTCTTGCTGTATTTAATTAAATCGTGATCATTTTTAATGTGGTTGATGATAATATAATATCCATTGTATTCCCATAAAAAGATTACTACTCCAACATTCCTACATTACTATTCATGTGCCTTTCCTCTGCAAGTCTTTCTTTTCTTTTTTTTAAACTATATAACAGTTTGACAACCTGTTACATCAGCTCGTCTCACATGAATAGCAAGATTATCTTCACTGTCGTTTAATCTTTGTGCTGCTGCTCCTGGGGATTGCTGGTGTGACTAGCTGTTCAATTATACATGTTATACAGTCTCTTGTCACATAGGTGCAGGCTTCCTACACAGAAGGGGAAAACGTTGTAGGGCGTCACTTAGATCTGTGGTGGATCTGTTAGATGTGGTGCACCAGGCTTTAACTCTTAAAATGAAAGATTATTATTAGATCAGTCTCTGCTTGTTTTATCATAAAGCGTTGTAATTTACATTTTAGTTTCACTTTTCCTGAACCTGTATTGCCCAGAATTACTTTCTACAATCCCTAGCGACCAGCTTTAAATTCTTACATTCACGTCTGAGTGTTTGGGCGGAGATGCAAATTAAGAAATTAGATGGAAATTGGTGATGTCTACTATTTTGCTCCTGAATTGTTGAAAAGTTTTAATGCTCAACTTGATTATCCTGAAGAACGATGGCATTAAAACAAAATCCCAAAGCACCAAAGCAAGCATCCATAAACGGGTTGCATACAAAAGAACATATTAAACATTGTAAGTCTTTACATATAAATAGAACTGAAATGAGATCAAACCAAACGCAGAGACACACAATGAAAAACACAGGATAAGGGATTAGGACCCAGATGTGACGTCAAAGGCTTTGCAGAATGAAATTCATATGTTTACATATTGCACATTTCTGAATTTTGCACTGAAAATATCAGGCATAAACGGAAGCCAGATATAACCAAGGCTAACATTAGTTTATTGTCAAACAACGAAATGCGTTAGGGGTTTTTCACAAATCACAAAATCGCACGACTTCTTGGTTCTCAACATCATCATTCAGTTTTACATAAGTGTCATTGCTTTCACATTCGACTTCACTGCAAGTTCCTTGATGTGATATCTTCCTGGTTCTCAGTATGTTAGGATGTTAAGTGCAAAGCCAGATAATGGCCACACACACACACACACACACACACACGGTCACCTGGGCAACTCCCTGTTGAGCGTATTCCACTCACAGGCGACATAATTAGGAAGCCATCTTAAGACCAGCGCCTGGTTGTCACACGTGTCTGCCTCTGGCTTACATTAGTTAGCAGGAGGGGTGGGCGCGCTTTCTGACAAGGTTTTATCTGGATTCGTAAATACAAAATTGCTGTACAAGACCTAACGCCAACCAACCCAGAGATTGACTCAGATTCAGGTTTTTCAAAGAGGGAGACGATTCTGAATAACCATCTTGTGGATGAAGAACGGTGTGAAACAGCACAGCGCTCTCCGGGGTCAGACATGAGGCGCGTTGGATTAGAGCAGGGTCTGGTTGATCGATTTTTCACACTTCTGCTTCACATGAATGCTTTGTGCAACTCAACCTTTTAATTCACAGTGATTAAACAGAAGTAGAAAACATACCCTTATAAAAGAAATACTGTTCAAAAATCACACCAATACTCTCTAAAAATAGAGCGTACAAACTCGGCACAGCCATCACTCCCTAGATTACAGGAAAACCTGAGTATCATACAGAGGTCCATTGCCGATCAGCTCCTGTGCCATTCAACGACCAGATTGCTTTTTCTTGTGCTAAGCATCTAACCCAGGCAGTCATCATGCTTTTCACTCAGGCAATGATAAGTGGAGTCTTTTGGGACAGAAGCAGCCCGTTGGGTACTGGAGGCAACCAGGGAACCAGCGCCCTGGGACATCTTGTTTACCAGTGCTCCTGGCTCGCCCTTCCTTTCTACTTCCTTCACTTACATTTTCTGTAATCTGTCTCAGCTCTCTAGCTGGCATTTCAGATGTCCTACTTCCAGGTGATGCATGCCCTCTTTTAAACAAGAATCCGCTACTTTCCAAATCCCATGTTGCCCCCCCCCCCCCCCCCACCCTCTACCAATTCCAGCCTCTGGGGGAAATCAGACAGTCTGCTCACGAACGGACCAGCTGGAACATGGGTCAAGCAGAGTGGCTGCAGGGCTGCGCTCATGCACACATTCAATTTTTTCACTGGCTGTTACTCACTTTACTTTCCCCAGTATCCCTCCTTTCCTTTCTCCTCACATCCCCATGAGATATCTCTCACAGTTTTAACTAAACCATGAATCTGTATCTGCCAACTGCTCCCTCACTCGCTTAAACAGTGCTGTAGAAACAAAGTGGCAAAGTGTGTAATTTGCTGATACTATTTTGCAGTTGCTCTTAGGGGACTTCCGTTTCCTCCCCCATTCTGCTGTTTACAATGCCCAGGGAGAAGAGGAACACATGAAAGTCAACAGAAAAGGCAGACTGAGTGCCAGGGAATTAGTTTTTGTCTCCCTTATCCTTTCCGTGGGAATGTAACATGCTTTTGAAGTTGATGTTTTAACTCTACTACTCTACCGTCTCTCTGTCACTAGCGTGGCGTCACCAAAGAGCTCGGTGTCGCACACTTCACTACCATCACACCTGTGCCCTCATTAATCTAGGCTCTCGTAGTGTGGTTGCCGTGGCAACAGAAACTGGGAGAAAACAAGTCCATCGCTCAACCGAAAGTCTCGTTTCCAGCAGTTGATAGTCGACAGTTGATCCGTCGTGTTTGTTTGTTTCCCGTGCCTTCGACTTTTAGGGTCGTCAGCAAATGTTTTAACGTTGCGTTTGTGATTTTCACCTCTTGATGATTTCAGGGAAAAGATGGCTGTGATTGGATTCATTCAAGTGATTTCCTGCAGGTGCAATCACTGGCCTCCTGCTTCATCAACTGCGTGTTCCTCAAGATGGGAATTATGGGAATGAACCTGTAATTTCTATTTAAGCCTTTTTTTTTAATCCCCACCAAGGTGCAAATGTTTCAAACATAGTGACTGAAACCGCTCTCATCATACATTGATCATGCATCCTAGTAAGACCACACGAGCTGGAAGTTATTTTAAAGAAATGTTTGTGCAATATGTATAAAGCTAGAGTCATAAGGTGATTTTGAAGTAGCCAGCTTAGCTCTGTCAAAATTACATAAATACACACATAGACATGCACATACTTGGAGATGTGTGGGTGTAACTATTGCTTGACCAGTAACTGTTGCTACAGTGAGCTTGTTGGTCAACCAGCGGAGGTGTTGCACATACAATAGGCTTTGTGCTCAGCAAACAGCAAGTTGTTGTTTGTCAAGAAACATTTACAGTATGTACAGTAACTCCCCTTAAAATCACATTCATATTTTTTGTGTTCTTATTGAACAAACAACATTATACATGCAAGCTTTAGAAGTGCTGGTTACTGTACTTCTTCTTTGATCACATGAATCTCCCTGAAATCTGCTTTGTGGTTGATGTTTACCTTTGTTTTTCCTTGACCTCCTTCCACAGTATATTTTAGTGAATTAGATACTAGCACTGACACTCAAATCATTTTTAATTAAGTGGTTGTCAGTTTAACGGAAACCTGAGGTTTTTTTTCCTCAATCACTTTGGCTCATTTTTTAAACAGTCTCTATTGCATGTCTGCAAAACGTAGTAACTCACATAAAACATTTCCTTAAAATGAAAAGTTGTTTTGTCATCGTGGTCAAAAACTGTTTTTTCAGTCATCCCTGGAAAGGTTTCTTATGTACTACACTCTGTTTTGCTCAAACTTTAGTTTTTTTTAGCACTGACTGCTTACTGTACTATAGAAGAATACAAAGTAAGCAGAATTGACGTTCTTCAAGAATGTAGGTAAACGTTTACTGCGAAAAGACAATACTGTAGTACACAGAAAAAGGATATGCACATTTGTACGTACACAGTAAATGTATTTGTTTTACATGTAACATATTGTATAATAATGATATAATATTTACAGTAACACAAGTGTGTCTGACAGATTTTGATAATTGAAGGTCTCATTTTGCATGCGATGGCTCAAATGATGAAAGAAAGTTTAGAAGTTTTTGACAATTCAGTTCAGTCAGTTTTTATCAGCAAGCCATGTAGTTATTGTGCAAAATGGTGTGTCAAAACACGTTCTTTTTACTGATCCACTGAGAGTGCAAGTGATTGGTCTGATCACTTATCTTAAATCAAATGCCCACTCCCAAGAGCTCCAGTACACATAAGCGATGGCCTGTTGTAGGTTCTGACAGCTTGTGTGTAGGTCTCAGGCTGTGGCTGAGCCAAAACGGTAATCAGAGAATACTGGAAGGAGACAGATTGAAGGCTGTTCTGATGCATAATGCACCTGTTCAATCTGCAGACGCTGGGAATGATATATGCTTATTTATAACAATTGATCGTAGGTAGGTAGATAGATAGACAATGTCTGTTATCATCTCTGTGTTATGACTTTTCTATCCTAATAGAATGTTGAGATGTCTGACTTGCTATGAAAGAGAAAATGTGTTTTGGTTTTCTCCTCCCGCAGTTCATTTTTTATCTGTATGAATTGTGTTTCTGTCTCCGCAGCGCTGTCGTCAAGCTGCATCATGGAGGCGCAGTCGGTTGCATCATGGGAGCTCATCAACGGTGTGACAAATACAATATATGAGGGCTGAGAGGTTCGTCATGGAGACGGACAGCTACACCCCAGGCCCAGCCACCACTGACTGGGTTGGGACGGTGGCCGGCCTGGAGGGAATGGGGCTCCTTCAGGAGCAGGGAGGGGGGGGCTTGGCCAGCGGCCCGGCGTCCTGGTACACGCCATACTCGCTGGGCTTTCAGGTGTCGCTCACCTCCTTCCTCATGCTGGAGCTGGTGTTGGGTTTCAGCAGCAACCTGACGGTGCTGGTGCTCTACTGCTCTCAATCCAATTTAGTGGACTCGGTGAGCAATATGGTGACTGTGAATCTGCATGTGCTGGATGTGGCGGTGTGTGTGCTGTGTCTGCCCCTCACTCTGGTGGTTGTGCTGCTGCCTCCAGGACCAAACATGGCCCTGCTCTGCTGCTTCCATGAGGCCGGCGTCACCTTTGCCAGCATAGCCACGGCCATCAACATACTGGTCATCAGCTTGGACCGATATGACATCTCAGTGCGGCCGGCCAACAGGCTGCTGACCACACGTAGAGCAACGCTGCTCCTGGCTGCCGTTTGGATCACCTCGGTAGCTGTGTTGTTTATCCCGTTCTTGGAGGTGCAGTGGTCCAGTGGAGAAGGAGCAGAGGAGAGAGGGCAGGTGACACCCTTGTCGTTGTCCTCGCATGGTATCAGTGCCGCAGTGGCGCCAGCGTGGCGTAACCAGACACTGCTGTGTGTCGGTGGGCAGGGCTTCCACACAGGTATGGCTATGTACTACCATCTTATCCTGCAGGTACCCATCTTCTTCACCACAGTGGCAGTCATGCTCTTCACCTACTCCAGAATACTGAGGGCTTTAAACATCCGCATTGGCTCCCACATGAAGAAGGGTCCGCGGTTCAGGGGCCCTTCCGGCAGGGGGCAGGGGGGGCCCCACAAGAGACAGAAAATACAGAAGGCGGGGCTCAAAATGAACGATGGTGGGAAGGTAGGAGGGGAGCAGTGCACCGCAGATGGTACCAAACAGCTCTGCCTCCCTCCACTCATTCCTTCCCCCTCGCCCACTCCCACGGCCACCTCCCCCCCTGCCCTGTCCTCCGCCCCCCTCGTGACCTCTGACACAGGCCCTGCGACCGCCATGCCCACCACCATGGGTGTCCAGGCCTCCGTGTCTGCCATCATTGCCCTGAGGAGGGCAGTGCGGCGACACAGGGATCGGAGAGAGCGACAGAGGCGGGTGTTCAGGATGTCCCTCATCATTATCACCACGTTCCTGTGCTGTTGGGCTCCCCTCTCTGTGACCAACATGCTAATCTTGGGTATAGGCCCCAGTGACGCCTTGGTCAGCCTACGCCTCTGGTTCTTGGCCCTGTCGTACGGCACCACCGTCTCCCACCCTCTGCTCTACGCCTTCACCCGACAGAAGCTGCGGCGTGCCCTCCGTACTAAGGTCAAGAAGAGGGTGGTGTCCCTGCTCCAGGTAGACCCTTCACCAGGGGGCACCGTCATACACAACTCCTGGGTGGAGAACAGAAAAACCAGCCGGCAGGTGCGGCTGGAAGCAAGCGAAGGTACTGACCGCTGCCTGGCAAGAGGTCCTGTGAGACTGACACACACGGGCCAGGCTAATTATTAGTAGTAATTAAAAATAGAGTCACAGGTGTGTTCTGTTATTAAACTCACTGGTGCGTGAAGCCAGTGTAGGAAATAAACATATTTCCACCTCTGGGAGATGTTCTAATGTAACCACCAAGCCCATGCTAAAGACGGCTAACATTCACAGCAGGGACAGCAGGATGCTGTCGACACACCGTCTCTGCGGCTGAAGAAAATCATACAACAGCACACACACACAAATGTATATAATTTGCACTCTGTCAAATGGTGAAGTCTGTTTACATATGCAGTTGTATGATAGAGCGGTCTCCTAGTGGTGCTTACCTAACTGCTCCAAAGAATGTGTTTAGCCAGCAGATGATCTAGTCTGCCACCCACTCTAATGCTCCAAGGCAGCTTTAAAAATAAAGATTTGATACACTTTGAACAAATAAATACTCAAAAAACTCTTTGAATGTGTTTGATATTGTCTCTGTCTTAGTTCTGCTCTGATGGTATGATGTCTATTCTGAACTCAAAGGGGAACATGTTGGATATTTACAAGCAAAACACAGGGATGATATGAGGATACGATGTAAATGTGCCAGGGTTTAATCAAATGCAGTTTTGCTTAAAGCAGTTATTAAACGGTCAATGTTAGTGTTTACAAGAAATCTTGCAAAGCTCTTTTGTATAAATGCAACTCTTTTGCTCCAAAATTTGTATCAAATGGTGTAATGTCTTATTGATGTTTTGCATGTACTGCTTGGAGCAGGCAGGTACATTGATTGAAGTCATAGTTTAACATTTTGGGAAATAGGATCATTGACTTTCTTGCAGGGAATTAGATGAAGAGATTGACACCACTGTTACACAGGAGAGTGCTTTCAAACTTCTCATCTAACTCTCGGCAAGAAAGTCAATAAGCCTCTTTCCCAAAATGTCTAGCTAGTCCTCTAAATAGTAAAAAAATAAATCTATTTTATTGTATTAAATGTTGACAGACTTATGGGTAGAGTCGACTGGTTGTGCTGAATTAGCTAGTCAGAATGACACCGTAAAATCGACAGGTGACCTTTCAATATAATGCAGTCTCATCACCAAAATCAATAATCACAAAAATAACCATAGAGTTCAATCAACACCTCTCTGAAACATTCTCAACAAAAACAGCCTGAAGAAAAGTAGTAATCTTTGTCGGTCTGTTGTTTTGGATTGCATTATATTTAAGTTTTCGGCATGCTAAAAGCATGCAGTTCTCTTTTGAAATACCATTTATGTACATGTAAATATTGACCAGTGTAAAATGTATTTCATGTGAAATCTACAATAGAAGTCACTAAGACTGTATGTGATTATAGATTTTGAGTGATTCAGTCGCGGCTGGCTCGTCCAAACATGTGGTCCCGTGGGTCAACTCAACCTTAGTGTACAGCAACACAAGAGAGTAACTGTCCACTGCAGCCGAGCGCTGACAGACTGTAGGATTCTTAGTAGGACTTGTGTGTGTGTGTGTGTGTGTGTGTTCACTGTGATGCTGTACTCGCAGTGAGGCCACGTGAATTATCTCACACACACACAATGCATTCTTGAATGTAAACACATGAAATATATATTATATTGTATGTACAGCAAGAATATGCTATCTTTATAGGTTTTGGTCATGGTGTTCTTATGTGAATGTATCACCATGCAACGTTGAATTATATCAATAAACATGAAATACTGAGGTCTGGATTTGCTGCTTTTTTTCTCCTGTGCTCATGACAGTATGAATTCATGTATGCTGCCTGCTGTGTGTTCGTTGAATGCCAAAGAGGTAAGGCTACTGAAAAATGACACAACGTATACAATACAATGTTTCTGTCTAAACAGCCCTGGCCGTGGGTGGAGCTGTCATCACAGTTGTTTCCCCTTACAGCATGAGGACAATGTACACAATTGTCCATATAGCTATGATTATTTCCTTGTTACCAGAAGGGACACGCCTTGTCCTCTTGGACGCGGGTTGTTGCAGTAAATAAAGATATGCTTGTGTTCAATATGTATTGCTATTCTCTGTGGTCTGTGTCGGGCAGGGACGGCATGCTGTATGATAAACAGTTTGTGCATTTATAACAATCAGAAAGCAGCCAATAATAAAGTGAGTAGGTGGTGTGATTTGTATGTTAATTTTAGCGTTGTCTTGTTACTGTTGGCATGGTGAAATTAAACTCCACTGTTGAACCGGTTTCCTACTTTCTGATAAGAAGCCATCCTTCTGTTGAATCCTGTTTCAAGTGGATGCATCCGCGTTGACAACGGGTAGGCACGAGCACCTCCAGTACCTGCCAGTGTTCATGTCCTGCTCCTCACAATGAGCTATACTGTACGCATTTAGTTGAAAAGCTACCGGCATGCTGTTTGAAAACTTTGCGTGGGCTCTGCGTTGCGTGGGAGGAAGGTGATGCAGACCTCTCTAGTATGGGAAAAAGAAGGTCATCCATGTGGGATGAAGCCCGCAGGGCAAAGTAACTCGGCAGCACTTAAACCTAGCCAGAACCATCAGGAAACTGCTGCTACTTTTGATGATTTTGATATTTGGTTAAAGTCAAATCACATTTAAATAATAGAAAAAATAATTCGCCATTTGGATATTTATTTTAATAATACATATAGTACAAGTTAAGATCGACCTCTGCGGTTATTATCTAACGTTACATCTTCTGCAAGTTAAAGTTCAGCTGAGAGAGCATTGGACTGAAACACTTTGCCATTCAAGTCATTGTGTCAGTGCCTTCAGAGTAAAGACACACATCTTTAAGTTTGAGAAATTATTTTAAAAATATTTGTAGATACGACTTTACTCAACACAATTAAATACAATACATGTTTGTGGATAGTGAAATATTTGTGGGTCATAGGAAACATTTGTGGACCGTCTTCTGGGGGTTACAAACATTAAAGTCCGATGAAAACTTCCGTTAATTACAGGCAAGGATAAATACAAGCAAACACAACTCTCAAACAGGTCTTGACTTCTCATTGCAGCTTGTTCATCAACAACGTAACTCAGTGCTCACTATGAAAGGTTGCTAGAATTGACACTTAATGCCCAAAAAAAGGAATCCACAATTTTTACAAGATTAATTGTTGTAAACTGTCCGTATAGATTTATATTTGAAAAAAAACCCCATTTCAGAGTAGAGAAACTATACAAAAAAACAGAGTATTAAGCTGTAAGGTCACATGATGTCTTACTGTCAAATGACACAAACATTACGAGAGAAGCACAAGGTAGTCTTGTGAGGTCATGTGAGGTATTTTCTGGAGAAAAATGTTTTCACAGGACTTTAAAGAACTTCAAGGCTTAATCTCACTCAAGCAAAACTCCCAAACTCCTTCGATGTTCAAAACTGGAAGTCTGTCGAGAACCTGAGAACAAGAAAATCAAACAAAAAGAAGACGAGGAACCATTTGGGGTTTATGATTGTTGTTAATGTAACGATATAGGACCTAAAAGGAAGATCCCTTTTATGTAAATGTATTACAATGGGATAGAATCCAGGGATTATGAATCAAATCATGAATAACATAACATTTGTAATAAACAAATCTGAATAAACCTATTATACTATGGGCTATGTTTGCATTCTTTGCATTCTTTGCAACAGTAAAGCAGTAATGCAAACAACCAGACATTGTTGGAGTGAATTTAGACACTATGAATAACTGTAATCATAATCTGTATCACTGCTTGAATTACATCAGCTCAGACTGCTGAGTGAAAATGCCTATAAATATTATTAGGGCCAGTCTGCCCTCGGTTTAACATCTGCCACACATGCTGCATCTGTAAGGGCTCTTCCATCATGGACTCCATGCTCCCTGAACGTGTGGCTGCATCTTGGCAATATTCTGCCCAGTTTCTGCCACAGTTTTTTCCCAGCCTGTCAACAACCTGAGATTTGAACTTTACGTTTTCTAACTTGGAAAAGGACAGCTAGAGGTTCACGTTGGGGTAGCTTTACTCAATTTAGTGTTTACAATAGACGTTTTGGGGTCATAACTTTAAAAGGTCACATTTATTTTCATTTCTTTCTAAATTTGTACAGCACTCAAGTCAAGTTAACTCAAACTTTAACATCACCGTGTCTGACTCTGTGTGCAGTGCACCGGCCTCTGTATCGCAGAAACTGCATCTAAAAACCCAATAAGGTGACTCCTCATGAAAGCCAAGACAAAAAAATCAAATTAGGCGTGTGTTTGAATTTGTATGATGCACATTCATGTGTGTTTTATAAAAACCCTAACTCTACCCAGGACGTACCATACAGTGTATGCTGTAGAGCATATTACACCACACTGCAAGAGCAACTTGCAAATATATCAGAGGTCATTTGTTCCTTCTAATTAAGGAAAGCGTTCTGTAGACATAAGATCAAAATGCTTTTAAATATGTGTCATTCATCATGAGGGAAAATAATCAAAACATCTCTTGTAACTGTCAATATGGTGAACAATATCTTGAACTAGACTGGCCTCTGGTGGGTCGACCGGCGAATTACATGAAAAAGGTGAACTATTTTCTTTATTCGCCGAAATAGCTCAGTTGGGAGAGCGTTAGACTGAAGATCTAAAGGTCCCTGGTTCGATCCCGGGTTTCGGCAGTAACCTGGTATGTTTTGAGCGCAGAAGGTAAATTAATGTGTCTAAATCATGGGCAATTGTACTGAAATAAACTGCAAAAAGAAGATAAAATAGATAAATATTTACTGTAGTGAATAAATTAAAATTAAAACCTATATAGGACATCAATTGATAAATATATTTCTACATTTTTGTTCACTTTCATTTCTGTATTTCTGTGTCCTTATGTTAATGAGGTAGGCGGTCCTAACCTCGTGCACGATTTGGTAATTAGGGAATCCAGACAGAAGCAAACGAGTCCTAGCAAATCTTCCCTGTAGACAATGTCAGAAAACTAGTTTAGTGACGGCATGCACCTTAAACGTTGGTTTGTATTCCGCATAAAAAGAAGAAAAGTAGTTAGTAGTGCACAATATAACATATTTACCTGAAATAGGAAGCCATGTAGTTTTGTTTTTGTGCAGAACAGAGGAAACGCACTAAGTTCACTTCCAACGCAGTCACACAATGTGACACTCAAAATCCCAGCGGACGGTAGGTTTCTGCAGGGAACAGTTTTTAATGCTAAATCCCTTCTGTAGACTAAAGTAGTATCGCCGGTGTTGAGTGATTTATTCAGGTGTGCTGTGCATCAACAGATCACACTCCTGTAAAGTGCGTCCCTTCCTCTGTCTCTGTCAACTTCGCATGGTTCTCTAAATCGGTCGCTAATTATCATAAATCATTTGAAATTACTAAACTATTAATTGACGATTAAATGAGCTAGCCAACTTCAACGTTACTGTACACGAATCGGCATCATCACACTCTTATAACCAATCCTGCTTTAGATAGAATTTTCTCTATGTCCTGTTTAATTATGAATTTTCATTTATCCATGTATTCAATTATTTATTTCCATATTTATTTCAGCATTATTTTATTTATTTCGGTATTTATTTATACATTTATTTATACATTTATTTTTGCATTTATTTATGTATTCAATGATATTGAAGTCATTTTTCGTCCTCCATACTGTCTATATATACTTGGCTATAGTCAAGCAGGGTATTGTTTATTATTTTTGTGAATGTAGGTTATTATTACTTTAATATATATATGTATTATTCTTTGGAGGAGGACATGTTTTGGATAACACACAGCAGTAGTACATTCAACAGCCAACAGATGGCAGGACTCATGCAGAGTTTCAGCCCACTAAAGAAGACTGAACAATGCAACCAAAGACACTAATAACAACTGAAGTACATCGATGCTGCACCTGCATACACTGTGCATGCAGAGGTAGCTCAGTTATTCTGGAAAGGCGGTAGCTTGCTGAGGTGCATCCAGACGTACAGTCACACACATACTACACACTGCTGTAAGATTGGCAAATGAGCAAATGCATTTTGAGCGTTTTGATACTTTGTTTTCATACACAGTTTTCATCCATTGCATTGCAAATGGCACGACTTTAGGTCAGGTTTGAAAAGGCTTTAAAAATAAGAAGTCTACTTTCTTTTTGACAAAACTATTTTTTTTTTGTTTCTGTGCGTGTATGAAAGTGTATTGTTTGTTGTTATAGGCTATACTCACATTTGACAAGAGGAATAACTGAAGAGTTGAACAAGTCAAGGTAACAACGGATAATGATAAACATTTCATCCAGGTACGTATATATTTTCATGTTAAGTAGGATCTGAAACAGCTGATATAATGCCAGTATACATGCATGTTAATGAGATGGGTGCGTATACATGTATTTTTTTTACTGCTCCTAAGTTTAAGTAATGGATAAAGAAGTAGCCGAATGTTATACCAGCTAGCAAGCAACATTGAGGAGGTAATAGAGACAAACATTGGATATAATTTGGTTCAGTATGTTTCTGTTGTTGAAG